CTCAGCGCCTAAAGGCACTGACTGCTGTTCCAGGGTTCCAGCACCCCATGGTGGGGCACAGCTGTCTGCAACTCCACTTGCAGAGACCCCAGCCTCCTCTACCCCCTCAGGGCTCCTTAGGCACCAGGCACACACATGCAGGTGAAACACACCCCATACATGAAACAAACATTTTAAAAAACTACCTAGATGAGCATTACCCACGTCAGGGTTCTTCTACTACTCCACAAGCCTTTCCCAGCTCTGCAGCCAGAGCTGACGGCCCCCCCTCCCACCCCTCCACTTTCCAAGTCTGACTGGCAGAGAATCGCTATGTATGCCTGCATTCCTCCACCACCACCTCCCCGTTATGAACGGTTCCAGGCAAGACCTTTTCCGAAATACTTCAACAACATCCAGCAAAGCAGAGGACAGTTAGATGTTTCCCAAGGCAGAGTGCAGCGCTAAAAGTTTACCGATGCCTATAATATTATAGTTTCAATATAATCACGTTTTTAAGTAATTACTGCTACTATTTCTAGGCAGGCAAAATATGTCCATTGATTCTTTACGCTCACAATTAATTCTCTCTACATAACCCAAGTTGGCCTCAACCTGGACAATCTCCTGCCTCAATGTCTGAAGGTTTGAGGTTACAGGTATGGGTCTCCACTCTAAGCGGATGGGTGTCACAGATGTGTGCACACACAGTATTATTTTCCTGTGTTAGCATTTTAAGTCAGAGGAGAGAAAAGGCTATTATTATTTACAGGATGTAGTAAGTCTCTAAACAATCACTGAAACTGAACAGGTTAAAAACATGTTAACATCTTACCCCAAATAAAAGTAATGAAAGAGTCTACATAACTCAGCCAACAACTGGAATTGTTTTGTTTTAGTTTGGGGTTTGTGGGGGGTGGTTTTGTTTTGTTTTTGTGTGTGTGTGGGGGGGTGAGACAGGGTTTCTGTGTGTAGCACTGGTTATCCTAGAACTCACTCTCAAACTCAGATCTGCCACCTTTGCCTCCTGAGTACTAGGATTAAAGGTGTGTGCCCCTACACCTAGCCAAAATAATTCTTGTTTTGTTTTTTGGTTTTTAGAGACAAGGGTTTCTCTGTGGCTTTGGAGCCTGTCCTGGAACTAGCTCTTGAAGACCAGGCTGGTCTCGAACTCACAGAGATGTGTACTCTCGTCAATGCCAAGCTGCACACAAGGGAGTCTCCCCAGTACTGGATAGGAAACCCCTGCCTCCTCCTCCCTTCGGTCCATGCATCTCACACCAGTGCAACTTCCCACAAGGAGAAACCGAGTCATAGAGTGACTGGACTATGACTGGATGACTCACAGAAGTCTCTCTGATTCTCCCAGACAAAGGGTTCATTAAAGCACACAAATCAAGATGGGAATGAATGAACAAAAGGGAGCCTCGGAGCTCGAGTGATTTCCTAGCACTGTGCTCGCTGGGAAGACAGGTTTGGCCGAGCCAGGACTGGTGGCATTCTGAAGGCTTGCCTGGGAGACAGAGTTCAAGGGCAGCCTGGCAACTTAGGAAGATGACAAACACATTTTAAAGGCCAGACATGGTGGCCCACACCTTTAATTCCAACACTTGGGAGGTGGATCTCTGGGAGTTCAAGGTCAGCCTGGTCTACACAGGGAGTTTTAGCACAGTCATGGCTACATAATGAGGCCCTGCCTCAACAAACATTTTTTTTTTTTTTTTTTTTTTTTGTTAAATTGATGGTTAGCCACATTTTAAAAGGGTTGGGGACATCATACAGTATATTAACACTTGCCTAGCATCCACAAAGGCCTGGATTCAAAACTTAGTAAAAAAAAAAAAAAAAAAAAGTAAAGATTGGGCAGTTAAGATGGCCAGCTGGAAAACTGCGGGCCACACAAGCCTGTCTTCCCAGTGTGATCTCTAGAACCCCAAGGGGGAGAGAAGTGGCTCCCCAAAGCTGTGCTCTGATAGGCCCATGACCACCTCACCATGGCATAGGCACATACACAGCAGGAACACAGCAACAATGAGTTACATTAAGTATCTCAGAGTGGCAGAGGATGCTGGGAAAGGACCTGGGGTCTAGCTCGCATTTACAGCAGTAGACAAGACAGCCTCACTGCCCCTTGGTTCCCTTGGTCCTAAGGACCCTTGGCCAAGAGCCCCCAGGAAACTGATGCCCATGTAAACGGCCCACAGGCAAGAAGTCAGCTAGAAATGCCAGCAGTTCTGCCACCACAGGTTCCTAAAGTGACACTAAGGAGAAGACGGGTGGGGGTGGGGTGCTGCACCCCAGTGACAGTATTTGACTTCTCATGTAACTCAGGACCACTAAAGAGAGGCAGACACGCCCTTTCCATCCTCACTCAGTAGAGGGACTGTGGCTCCAGCTCCATCATCTATGGAGACTGCCTGGTATCTCCCTCCATCATAGTCCAATTGTCTCGTTCCGATCTCCACCACACACACACTGAACTTTCCACTACATCCATCCTCACAGGCAGCAATGGAAACCAATAGAGGCGATCGATCCACTCTTTGGAGATCTGTGCCCTACGCCAGTGAAGACATGTAACACCAGACAGCCTTGTATGGGGAATCCCATGTTCTCTTCAACCAGAATGTTTCTGATCTGCAGTGGATCAGTCACAGGTAGCTGCTTACCAACAGACACACAACCCAGCTGGGAAAAAGACACATTTCTAATGTCAAGCTTCTGCCAGCTTGTTCACAGGTCATTCCCAGCATCCTGTCCAGAGGCTCAGCTGCCACAGTGTCACACACACACACACACACACACACACACACAAATACAAGTTCAGCACAGCCAGAGAAGGTACTGGAAAGTGCTAAGGGACCGAGAGGTGAGTGCTCCTTGGGAATAATCTGGAGAAAGCACCCTAGCCTCCTCTTTAAGTAAAACAATAAATATCCAAAGGTGGCCAACAGTTAGTTCAGCAGCTGCCAGGTACTGATTCCTCACAGCCAAGTCAGGAGCAGCTGATGGGGACAGCTATGGTAGGGTTGCCATAAAAGAGAGCCTAATGCAAGCCTGGTACTCTCCACAGGAGGCTGGTCAAGAGCAACCAACCCCAACTAGGGCTGTCAACCAGCTCCAACCCCAGCAGCTGCCACAGGCTCCCAGGTCCCATGAAGGTTTCAGGGCTTAGAGCTTGCATGCAGGTCTGCAGCCTTGTAAATAAAGAGCCTCTCAGGTGTCCCCACTAAAACCCCTTACTTCTCTGCCTCCTGGTCTCCATCTAAGAAGCTAGTCTCTCCTCTTAAGGGCCCAAGCCACTAACAGCAAGCCTAGAAGCAACCCAGTCCCTAGGACCCTCATCCAGTCACTTTAGGCTCCTTTTTTGGTTTCTTTGCAACAGACTGGATATATTAAGAGCACAGAGCAAACCTGACTCCATCCACAACAGCACTGTTCCCTAAGCAAACACAGAAACCTCGAATAAGACAGTGGTCCCAAACCTGGCTGCTACTTAGTACCCCAGAAAAAACAAGACATCATTTTGCCTCATTTAGCTACATAATCTGAGGACTGGGGGGTAGGAGGAGAAACAGGTGTAAGTAATCTTAGCCTTCCATTTCCCAGCAAGTTAACAAAATCTATTTACCACTTGATATGATTAGAGTTCCATGCAATACTCCAGTTTAATTTATACAGGAGCCAGAAGTGGCTCCGCAGGTAAAATTGCCTGCTGAGAGCCTGGCTGCCTGAATTCTACCATCAAACCCACACAAAGGGAGAGAGAATGAACTCCACAAAGCTGTCTACTGATTTCCACATGTGTGCGATAGCATACATACATGTGGACACATGAATATCCCACACATATACACAGATATGTGTGTGCATGCATTCAGACACGCTCCCGTGCACACACTCCCGTGCACACATGGAGGCATGATCTAAATAGAGTTCTGTGCCACAGATAAAAGCTTTGCTACCTTTAGCGTTACAGTCTCCAACTATGTCCATTCAACAGATATTTACAGGAAAGCGTTATAAGCCAGTTACAATTTGCTTAACTCTTTGACAGTGGCATATGTATAGGATAATGCTTGATTATTTAAATCTGTTTGCATTAAAGGAATTTGGTCCACAAAGAGACACTATGCAGTACTGTTTTAAATATGTTAATTTGGACTTGTGACTGTGGTAAGACCAAAACAGAAAGTCCACTTGCTGTCCCCAAACACCTCCAGGGCAGCTTTCAGTTTCACCAGCGCCTGTTGTATGGAAACACAAATTTCTAGGCCCCACACCCAGAAATTTTGACTAAAAAAATCCAGGGTGGGGCTTAGAAATCTGCAGAATTTCGGAAGTACCCTAAACAACCCATGGCCAAACTAAACATAGCCTACAGCTAGTCTAGTCCTGGCTGAAAAGGAAGGGCTTGGCTTAGAGTTCCACGTGAGGGCTGAAGGTGTATCTCCTGTCCTGCCTGAAAGTCGTCGTCGTCATCGTCATCGTCCCCCCCCCCCTCCGTGTACGCAGACTGAGGTCTGAGGGAGGCCAGGGGATTAGAGACTTTATAAAGTGGGGGGAAACGTTGAGTAAAACTGAGTTCCCATCACTGGAGAGAAAACAGCAGGCATCATTTGTCATGGTGCTGAAATAATGCTTCAGAATTAATAGCCCCTGGAAGGCAGCAAGTTCTCCCAGCAAGCGGGCACAGGTTACAGAAAAAGCAGGACCACAGCCCCAAGACCTTTGCCTTCTGTGGCTCTGAAAACCTAAAGCTGGAGTTGATAGAGACTACAATCAATCCCAGTCTTTTCCACACTTCTTAGACTGATCTAACCACTAAAAATGTTGCATCTTAATTAAGAGGTTTGTAAAGTACTTAAGTGCCGTTTTGTTGACATTCAAACATAATTTACTCTAAAAACTGTTCTTCGGGACCAGTTCACCAAGGTGTTGGTTCAGATTATTACACTGCTGATAAGATAAAATGTAAGATACTGTAAAGTCTTCTCCTGAGCCCTGGCTGTTTCACTTACCCCTGAGGCTGTCGGTTGTGTTGAAGGAGATGTGTTTTTGGTACAGTCATCTGAATTAGAAGAGGAGGAAGTTGGAGTCATAGGAACAGAGTTACTGCTGTTACCTGCAAGAGACAAGCCATGAGGACATCTACCTCTGCTGTCAAAGCTGGAAAATACTTGCCAGATAAGGTCGGCATTTTATTATACTCACCAGAGCAAGCCTTTGACTTATTTATGTTTTTAGGTTTTCGTTTCCTGGTTTGAATCCCTTCCTTTTTCATAGCAAGTGGTCGAGGCACCTAAAAAACGTTCACAAAAGACCTAAGTATATTATACTGAAGGAAACTAGTACTGAAAGATTTTAGTACTGAAAGCCCTTCCTTCAAAGAACCTGGGATAAAACTCAGTAGTGGAACAGTTGCTTGGCTACGTGAGGCCTTGGGTTCCATCTCCAGTACCACACAGGAGATGCGTCATTTTCTCAGTGCTAAGGGCTGAGGTAAGCTAGGAAAGGACACTGAGCCACATCTCCAGCTTTAAACTAATGAAAGACTTTATTGTAAATTCATCCATATATATATCCATATATATGTTGATATTTATTAGTGTGTGTAAATATTACATACATATTCTAAATGCATAAAGATTTACACTCCCCCCCCCAAAAAAAAGATTCTTTCAAGGGAAAATGTCGTTTACCATGGACAATTTATATTTTCAACTGCATGAATATTATCTGAAATAACTTATAAATGAAATATTTATTTATGAATATTTCCTTTTAATATCCTTACTTAAAAGAGATAAAATACCTTCTCCCTACAACAGTTTATTTCCTTGTAAAATGAGCCATTATTAGGCAGGCCAGTGGCTAATGCCGAGAAGTCTGGCACTCAGGAAGGCTGGCTAAGGCAGAGGGTTGCAGCAACCTGGGCAAGTGAATTCGAAGTCAGCCTAGGCTATAGAATGAGACCTTGTCTCAAAACCAACCTAAGATTGAGATTTATAATAGCCTCCACAGTCCTTCAATGAAATACAGACTGAAGACATCAGATATAACTTCTTCAGACAAAAATCCCCACCACGTTTCTTAAACCTTAAGATCTGAAGTAATCGCTTCGTATCATCACTTCTAAAGTGTACCTTTTACATTCTTACATTTCCTTTTTTCTTTTCTTCTTGATATAAATAAGGTTTCTCTGTGTAGCCCTGGCTATCTTGTACTAAAGGCATGCACCACCACACCTGCTTCATTCCTTCTTTCTTTCTTTCTTTTTCTTTCTTTCTTTCTTTCTTTCTTTCTTTCTTTCTCTCTTCCTTTCTTTCTTTTCTTACTTAGTTTTTATTCATAAACTTAACTCTGTGATCCAGTTAGACTTGGAGGGGAATGAGGAAAATATGGAACCCAAAGGATTTCAGTGAGAGCAGAGATTACAGGGCACTGCGAGCAGATGATTTTCTAAAATCAAGATGTTTCACTAAAAAAAAAAACACCGGTCAGTGTCACATTAATCAGTTGAGCATTTTATTTATTGGCCCCTCGGTGGCTGATATGACTGGCCCACGTTACAGTTGATAGCAGCTTGGGCTTCAATGCAGTGCACACACAATACACTCTCAATTTTCCACTGTCATACCCTTTGATACCTTTTATTCGCTTGCTGATTCTGCATTACAATGGAAAACATGCAGTTCCGATAGTAAATGTACGTATTCATAAACGGATCAAATGGCATACCCCATGGAGTTTCATATAGAGTCCGCAAGCATTGCACACAGGTTCACCCTCGGCATTTCTACGCCATAAGGTGGTGGTTGTTGTGTGACAGTTAGCACAGGATAATCCAAGCCGCCGGGATGAAGGCTAGAAAACAGCACATAAGACTAAGTAAAGAAACATGATTTTACATATTTTAATGCTTTTGTATGTACAGTGTGTACCTATCTTCAAAAAGAGAACACATTCCCAGTTAGTTATACATTTAAATGTCCCTTCAGAACAAAATTTGCAACTAGGTAAACCTTTTTGAACCAGAAATCTGTTTTGCATAGTGTGCCTGATCCCACAGACCTTTATTCTCAGCACCAGAGAAGCAGGGGCAGTCAGTCTCTGAGTTCTAGGTCAGCCTAGCCTAGAGAAAACCTGTCTAGAAAAAAATAAAAATAAAGAAAGAAAAAGCTGAGGATCTGAGTGAGTGAAGAAATACACCTGGAATGGTCGTCCTGGTGTCTGAATTCTGTTGTATCTGTTTTATCAAAGATACAAACTCATTGGACAACATCTTTTAATGTTAACCCTGCCTTGTGTACGGTAAGGTTGACAGTCCCAATTTTTCTTCATATAAATAGTTAATTGGTATCACAAGGGCAAGCTGCGTCTAATGCTAACCTTTATGATCCTAAAATTCTCGAAGGAACATATTTCCTCCAAATCCCACATAAGGGTGGGGAGGGCAGTGAAAATATAACCCTCTTCCAGAAAGGCAAGAAAAACAGATAAACTGTTTAAAATTAATAAAATCAAGTTGCACTAATGCCACATCTTACATGTTAATATATACAAATACATTAATTGAAAATATGGGAATCAAAGCAAATATTAAGTGACAAAACTCAAGGTGTTGCTAGTTTCAATTCATTTCAGAAAGAAAAATAACAACTCATTTGATAAACAATTATGAAGAACAGAGGAAGAGCAGGGCAGTGGAAACCCTCTAATCCCAGCACTTAGGAGGCACAGGCATTCGAGCTCCAGAACAACTAAGGCTACACAGAGAAACCCTATCTCAAAGAGAAAAAGAGGAGGAGGAGGAGAATAGAAGGATATGTTGGGTACATATTGGATATTCATGGGTCAGAGAACCAGGTTTCCAAGTTCTTTGAAGACAAATATAAATGATCAAACAGCATTTTGCATTTCTAGCTCATACCTGTCCTGTTAGGTTAGTAGTATCCTTTACAATCGCTGTGTAGATCAGAGGCACTTTCGTGGACCCTGTAGCCCTGAAACATTTCTTAAAAACTTAGAGCTAATAATTCCCAAGATTTGGTGAAAATGAACATGTTGGCTGATAGAACTACTAGAGAAATTGCTTTGCTAAAAACAAAAACAACAAAAAATCTCAACAAAACCTTAAGACACCAATGGCTGCTTTTCACTCCACCTTCTTTGGGTTAGAGAGAAAAAAGTTGCAGGTGAGCACTCCTCTCCATAAATATGACATTAGTACAGGGGCAGGACGGTCCGTTTATAAACGAGCCATTTATGAAAGGCTCCAGTGGAATTTGGAGCCAATGTGGAGCGAACTTGTTATCAGAATTATAACAAAGAGCTTTATGACTGTCAACCGCGGATCATAAGTGAAGGCAGTCTCCATAAATGTGAAATGAAGGTGAGGGTTATAAAAGCTCCTTTAACAGGGCGAGCTCAGTTCTATTCCTCACCAACAAGGAATTCAAGCTACACCATAAATCGCTTATTTTGTAATGTATTACAAGTTCAAATTCACAGTGATTGGTTCTGTCCTGCTGTCTTAACAAACTGGGGTTCAATATTCTGTTTCTGAGAACTAAGCCACCAAAACTATAAGCCCTCAAGGAGAACTAATTGATAGTGACACACCTACAATTGGTATCATTTATTACTCATTCACAAAGCATATTGGCTGACCTTGGTTACTGCCAAGACACCTGCCACAGAAAGAAAACTAATCTATTCACAAACATTTAAATTGTTTTTCTTGTGGGTAACAATTTTTACTGGTAAGTGTGTGAAATAAATGGCACTACCTAAATACGATTACTAGTTGATCAAATTTGTAATTCAACATGTACAAAGGTTTTGCTCAAACTTGGAAAAAAAATATATTACCTTTCAGAGCTCAGCTAGGACTCTGCACGAATAAACCCTTAACTCCAGAAAGCAATGTTTCATTGTTCATGCTTTGTCTGGTAAGTGAAGGCAAGAGCTTCCTTGGAATATTTTCTGATTACTTTCTTCTTAATAAAATACATAAGGGTTATGAAAGCCAGTGAGTTGGTCACATCCTGAATTTAAGAATACCATGTAAAGAAAACCCTAAACTGGGGAAATTGTAAGGAGCTTAAAACACATTCCACTTAAATTAACCTTAGCTACTTTATTTTAAATACATTAAAAAGAAAACAATCATAAAACTAATTGCCTTTCCTTAAGGTGTCAGACTTACCTTGTGATGCAATTTCGCTCTAATCTAGTTAACACAAACAACATGCATAACGTTTGTTCTGCTAATTAGAGTATAACAATTAAATAAATTACCTGGGTCCTTAAGATGTCTGGCATCTAATTGCAAAGCATCTACTTTAAATGGCATTTAGAACACTATCAGTTGTGGCTAGACAAACGTTAGCCTTAAGAAGCGGTTCACGAAAGCTTTCTTCCTTTTTTTTTCCCATTTCATCTTTAAATGTCTCAACAAATGACAAAAAGTTTAATCACAAAACAATTAAGAACTCCCCATCCTTATTTTAAAATTGGTAAACATGTTAGAATCGGTAAAGTAGACAATTTTAGAAGTTCAAGCTCTGTCTGTGCCATTCTTTGCAACAGCCAGATTTCAAAATAACTATTTGACCAGACACATTTTCACCATACTCAGGGCAATTTAAAAGGCAGAGGAATCCGGCTCTGTCAGGAAGGGCATTGGGCCCAGAGAGGCTGGCAAGGCAGGGCTGCACTGACCATGCATGGAGGAGTGGGTCATGCCTTTCTTCTCCTTTGGCTGTTCGGGAATTGAAAGGGAGCTTGCTTTCTCAAATCTGCCCAGAGAGTCGCCTTCCCTTGTTCTGGGGATGGTACCTGCGGCCCCAATTTCTTCAGTATTCTCTCTGTACACTGTCCAAGAATATGTGTAATTTCATTTTTTTTTTTTTTTTTCTAAACTGAAAAGTAAAAAGGTGGTACAGACGCCAAGGAGGCAGGCAATTCAGCAGCAAACTCTAGTTTGCCCAGCGTTGTTTTCCACCCTTGGTACAGAGCGGAAAGGAGGCTGTTACCAGCCACGATTTCCCTTGTTGCCTTTGGAAAGGCCGGCGGGGTTCTTTCTCTTGGGGAAGGGGTAGTTCTGGCGCGGGAGGAGGAGGTGGGTAGTGGAGGTGCCGCAGGTCTGCACCCTGCGGTGACACTCACCACGCGCTTCTGCGGCTTGATGAGGGGCCGGCTGAGGCCGTTCATCTTGCTGTAGAGGCCGCACGCATTGCACAGGTAGTGGCCTGTGCCATCTCGTCGCCACAGTGGCGTCTGGATGGAGCCGCAGTTCACGCACTCGCGGCTCTCGGACAGATCCTCCAGCAGGTCTGTAGGGAGAGCGAGGACCAGAGATCGGTGAGGTCGCCCGCCCCGCGTTCACCAGAAGCTGGAGACACCACCCCAGGCTCCCCAAGTCCTGGCCTTGGTCGCCTTAGATCAGCTAACCACTGTCCTACACTCCAATCCGGTAGAAAAACCCCAGCGAAGTCAGAGACCCTAAAAATGACGTATCTGGAGAACGGTCAGTCGGGTGGCCTTACTGCTCTTCCCGACTGTGTAAGGTAAAACTGGATCGTACTAATATAAAATGGAGCTTGCCAAACCCAATCGTGCAATATTCACTGATTACTGACCTTCCCTAAAACTCACAAATAGCCGAGACTCACTGCCCAGTTATTGTTATCCTAAGTAGTTTTAAAAGTGCCTATCACACTTCTTAACGGTTTTTTTATCTTAAAAAAAAATTTAAAAATATTGTTCTTAACATTTGTATTAATTAATTATAATTTAAAAACATTAAAAAGACTGCTTGTAGCATTCATATCAATTATAGTTATGAATAAGAAAATGAAGGTTTTTCTTGAGGAAGGAAAAGGCTTGGAAACTACATTTTATTTTCATTTCATGAGGGTCTAAAACCGAAATATTCTGATTTCTATCTAAAATCTATTTTTTAAATGGCTTTATGGTTCTTTTCATAGCAGACTGTGTATTTTAAATACAGGTTTCCATCTTTCAGATTATGTGGTTAGTTTTTGAAATTAACCTAAAGCTAATTAAAAACAAATCAAACAATAATCTGAACAGAAATGATAACATTTGCTATTTTTTAAACATGAAATAACATCGGTCATCTAAAATTAAATTATATTACATATAGACTTTGTGAAAACAGATGTTACCTACTGTGTGATCCCTTTCTGTTACAGAGGGTTTGAATGTTCTTGGTTGGGATTCTTCTAGGAGCAGTTGAGTCATTATGAAATTGAATAAACATTGCACTTTAGCCTTTTATTTGAAGAGTATTCTGCCAGATCTCTGTAAGCCTCACTCCCCTGATGTTCATAGTTTGTGTCTACAGTCGGTAATGTGGTAAAGATATTTAAATGTGGTTTTAGCATTAAAATGCTTTCAACATTAATTTTTACCTTACCCAAAAAAAAAGTGTCCTTCATTTCTAGAGTTATGTCTTAGATTTAAAGGAAGCTAACATCCCACAAAGTGAGTTCAAAGTTATCCTGGGGACACTGGAACTTAAAACACATCACAAAGATTTATTCTTCTCCGCCCTAAAAGCCACTATTGACCACAGTAATCAGTAAAATACTCAGGACTTCAAGGACACTGAAGTTAAACAAGGCATTTGTCTTTGCTGTTGACTTTAAAATGTTACCTATCAGAGAGCACCTCTTCTAGAGTGGAGCATTCCCTGGAATACCTAACCCTAGGTCTGGCCTCCTTCACTGGGCTAGGAACAATGGGCTAGGGTCCCTGGAGAATGTGGACACCCTAGGTATAACATAGTCCTGGGGAGCCCCAGAAATAAAATTTCAAGTTCTAAAAAGCTTTTTTTTTTTTTTTTAACTAAATAAAATTCTGGTTCCTTTTCTGTCTCTCGGCAAGGGCCAGACAGCAATAATTCTAAAATGACAAAAGAAAATACGCTGCAATTATAAAATCTGATTTGCTGGAGGTTGGCACCTCTGTCCTAAGTGGTTTCTTGGGGAGCTCCTGGGAAGTGACAGACTCCAATCAGGTGTGATTCCTGGAGCCAAAGACTGGAGCTCTGCTCAGTGGGGGCTTAGAGAGGCCAAGGGACTGGGCCTTGAGGACCTCATCTCATCTCAGGGTAAGCTATTTAGATCAGTCCACCAGGCTGTGGAGGGTTAGAAAGCACAACACTCAAGTTTTAGCCTTGGTGTTTGCTCAAACTTAAGAGTCTACCTCCAAATGTGGTTTGAACTAATACTAAATAATAAAGGATAATAATGATGATTGCAAAGACAGGAAGATGGCTGCAAATCCAAGGCTATCCAAGGACTACACAGGGAGGGGGTGCTATCAAGGTGATCAAACTTGGAGCCACCCTCCTACCCAATTGTGCTTTAGTTGCTGCTTTTCTTAGCAGACTATAAAACCTGTATGCTCACCAAATCCCTTCACTCCTCTTGAGAAACACACTGAGCCTTGAGACTGGGTGATGGGGGGGGGGGTGATCGAGGAAAATATAGGCTACATTCAAAGGGTGCCTGTAACTGCATTTCCCAATGGAACCCATTGCTGTCAACATCTAAAGAAGGCACTCTGCCTGTTCATGAGCTATCTCAGTCAAGTGACATGGCTCCAGCCTACAGAATAGGAATTTGGAGAGCAGTGGAGTGGACTCTAGCAGCAGGCATCCTGCCCCCATAAACTCTTTGGGATTCCCTACCTACCTCCAGACAAAAGCTTCACACCCAAACCACAACTCTCTTCTCATCATTTGAGGAATTTTAGTCTCTGTGACTCTACCATTGGGAGCCAAACATAGCTTTTATATAGTAGGAAGGGTGATGGCCCCCAGCCACCAGGGCCCAGCAACAAGGTCCTCCCCAAGCCTCTCTTAGCAGTAAAGCTGCAGGAGTAAGAAGGAGGGCAACTAGAGTCCCCCGCACACTACCCTGCCTCTCAGCAAGGCCAAGGGCGCCTGAGATCAGAGTCTCCACTCTCAAGACACTAGGTTTTCTGAACACACACGAGCTAAGCAACTCCCACTCAGTCTAACCGTCCAGGGGCCCTGCAAGGACAGTCCCTAAACAGAAGTGGGGAGGGGCCCCTAAATAATGCAAAAGATTCGTGGGAAGGACAGTTTGGACCAACTACCCTCAAAAAAGTTACATTTCCCCCCCCCCCTTATAAGAAAAGTTATCAAATGGGCGGAAACCCCAGGAGAGGGAGCCTACAGATGAACTCAGGGGCTTAAAACTGGATAGTCGAGGGAAGAAATCAAGCCTGGCTCACAGTTGCCCCTGCTAACAGCTAACAGCGGGGCCACTTTACAAAATAAGGAAGTAATGTCTTTCCAAGGTAGCTGATGATTTTATTTTCTCACTTTACACTTAAATAGTTCCTACACAGAAGAGTGCGCTGAACTTGTTTGTCCTAAACTCTGAAGGTTCTCTCTCCCCAAAGTGGGAAAGCTATCACAGAAACCCAAGCAACAGATGCCAAGCCTGAAAGGCTGCCAAGTGGATAGGTCCACTGGCTATCCTTAGGGATACATATGGTTGGGGATCTTTCTCATCCTCCACCCCCCCCACCCCCGCCTCCGCCATTGTTTGAGGGTGACCTGGACGGGACGCCAAGTAGACACCTGGATCTTAGGGTTTTGGGTGTCCCATTTCCATCCTCTCGTCCAAAGAAGCTCCTCACCTAGCACTGAATCAGGTGAGGTTGAATATGCCCACGTGCCTCTCTGATCAAGAGTCCAATATTTCAAACGCACCCAGTCCTACTCACCCAAAGCAGGACACAGGCGGAGCTCCGACCGACCCCACGTATCTAAAAGACATGCTTTCTCAATTGCTTAACTACCCTCCCCAAGGCCCTGAGGTAACAGATACGCATTCACCCTCTTTCCCGGACACGAGTACCCCCAGAGCATCGCTGCTAGCCTTAGTGTCCTGCTACTGACTTAAAACCTTTCCCGGGGACAGGTGGACAGCTTTTTCAGACCGGCTTGCGCCCCAGCATCCCTGACCCACACACACCTCCTCCACCCCGCGGCGCGGTCCTTACCTGCGCTGGGGCCTCGTGGCACCGGGAGCGGGGCTCCCGCGCGGCTCTGTAAGCTGTGCAGCACGGGCGTTTCGAAGGGTCCGGCTGGCCAGGCAGGCGTCAGCGGAGCCCCCATGTAGGGCGAGTAAGTGGGATGATGGTGATGATGGTGATGGTACGTCCCGTTCAGCTGCCGAGCCGCGGACAACGAGCTGTACTGGTGCTCCCTGCCGCCCATGGCCGCCAGGCTGCCGCCGCCGCCACTCACGCCGCCCGCTCCCCCGCTGCCCGCAGCCACGTAGCCCCCGGGGTCCCGCGCGCCGCCGTTGGTCATGGGCGGGCTAGGCGAGTAGGGGAAGCGCGCCGAGGCGTGAGCCGAGGCCGAGCCCGCACCTCCGGGCCCCGCCGCCCCGCCGCCCGCTGCGCCGCCCCCGCCGTACGGGGGGCTGTCGGCCGAGGCCTGGGGCCAGCCGGGGGGAGCTCCCGCGCCACCCGCGTGGTTGTTGGGCCCGCTGCTCGCCCCTTGCAGGTACGGCAGCCCGGGCAGCATGGACCCCACGCGCGTGGTGGGGACGTAGACGGGAGAGCTGGCCGCCGCCGCCGCCGCCGCTGCCGCCGCCGCCGCGGAGTGCACGAATCCGCCGGGCGCGCCGTCGTAAGCGGCCGGCCCCTGGCTGGACAGGGCGGCGAGGGTCTGGTACATTTCCTCGGGCTGCTCGGGCGCGAAGGGGCTCAGCTTGGCGCCCCGGCTGGGCCACAGCAGCTTGCTGGCGGTCGCGGCCTGGTCGAGTTCGGTAAAGAGCAACAAGTCCTCCCAACTAGACAGGGCGCTCCCGGGGCCAGGGACCCCGGGCGCCGAAGGTCCGTGGGCAGCCGCGAAGGGATGCGAGGCGTAGGGGTTGAGCAACAGCGAGCGGCCCGGAGGTCCCGCCACCGCCTCGGTGTCGAGCTGCGGCGTCCCGCAGTTGCTGGCGCCGCAGGGACCGCGATCCCCGCCCCGGGAGCAGGAGGAAGACGAGGAAGAGATCGGGGAAGGCGGGGAGGAGGGCTCCCGCGCTGGAAAGGCCCCAGAGTCACCGGTGTCCGCAGCAGCAGCCACGAAACGCTTCGGCAGGCACCAGCCGCCGTCAGTCAAGGCCATCCACTGTCCGGCGCTGCTCCAATCTGACTTTTGTCTCCTGGGGTGGGATTGAGGAAAGAGACAGGAAGAGAGATAAAGTGGGTTTGCCAAAAGCATGGACAGTCTACCAACAAGCTTCACTGCCTTTCCATCTCCCAGCCCGGGGCATCCCTTAAAGATGCCGAGTCTCCCCAGTGTTTACGGGGTAAGGAAACGGGAAGTGGGACCTGTGGAGCAACCGCAGGGTTGTCGACGACCGGGGTGCCCTCCTCTGTCACCCAGGACGGCCGTCCCTGCGCCCTCCCAGACCACCCATCGACAGCACCCTTCTCTCAAAGCGCGCCAGATCCCGGGAGTGACCACAAAGCTGGCCGAGGTTTTCCTTCTGTCCCAGCTTGGCTAACCCTGGCCGGATGACACGAAAAACTTCATGTCAGTACTGTCGCATCCTGCCCCTCTCCTGGTAGGTGCCCCTCTCCTGGGATGCCTCCGTGAGAGTTTCCCGCGTGAAAATAGCTAGCAAAGGCAACCTGTCTCCGAAAACGAAACCGCCTCTTTTTCTCTGAGCTTCCCGGTCCTCGCTGACCAGATCCAACGCGAACTCCAGAAAAAAAGCACCAGCTCAGAAAACATGGGACACCCGGGCAGACGCTCTGGGCTTGGGAAGTAGTGCCGGAAACCCACCGAGCAAAGAAAGCCTCACGCCCAACCGAGTCCAGGCCGGCCGACGGCACACCTTAGGTACAGATCGCGTCAAAGGCACCAGCGTGCGCGCTCACGCCGGCCGGGCCACCCCGTGGTCAACCCCAGCGGGGGGAAAGGCCAGATCATTCCGGAATTGAACATAGTAGGGTGGAGCAGAGCACAGAGAAAAGGAGGGGGAAACGCACAGGGGGAGGGGGTGAGACCGCCCCAGAGCCGAGGCCACCCCAAAGGGGAGAGCAGGAAGAATGACAGGGAGACTTGAGGGGGTGGGGAGCCGGGCAGGCCTCTGCCAGGCTGCTTTCCCAAATCACCAGGGCTCATCGGAGATAGCCACACTAAAATTAATGCCCACACACAGACCCAGGCAAGATAGCAAGAAATAAGTTTCTCTGCCCACTGGACTACGGGCTCCCGCCCCTTGGCGCTCAGATAACTCGGAGATAAGGCTGCGGGCAGATAAGCATTAGGGGGTGGCAGGGCTGGCCCGGAGTACCCCGGGAACCTGGGATTCCCTGAAATCCTCCAGGAGCGAAGGAGGGGAACACCCTCCGAGCCGATCGCGGCCGGAGAAAGGCCGGAGAGCTGGAGGCCCAAGAGCCTGCGACTGTTAGGGGAAGGAGGAAGAAGAGCGGACAAACAAAAGAGGAAGCAGCCGAACCTCGGGAGAGCGACGAGCGCGAAGAACGGCCGCGGCGGCGGCGGAGGGTGCTCCCAGGCGCGGAGTGAGGCCGAGGGCGCCGGCGGGAGAGCGCGAGTCCGGGGTCTGCCAGAGGCTGCTGGTGAATAAAAAGGAGAGAGGAGGCGCCTCTCACTGCTCTGCCGGAAAACTGCAGCCTGCGCTCCTGATTGGACTCACCGAGCCCTAAACAAACAGCGCTCGCCGAAGGGTGCCAGGCTGTGGGTCGGAACTGCTCTCTCCAGGCTGCTGGGTGCGGAGGTGAAGAGGAGGAGGGATCGAGGGGGAGGAGAAAAAAAGCGGGTGGGGAGGGGACGGCGAGGGGGAGGGGAGTGAGCAGCCCTAGCAGACAATAAGTGCTAGGCAGCCCGCGGGCGTGGGCTGAGCCGCAAACCCTGTCCCCTGGGTGGGGGCGAGTCCACCCAGGGGGCGCCCAGCTCGGGGACACGAGGAGACGGGCAGAGGCAGCAGCATGCCTGACCTGGCTAGCGACCCATATTCATCCAGCAGTGGAACACACCCTTGGGTCCCCGGTCTCTCTCTCTCTCTCTCTCTCTCTCTCTCTCTCTCTCTCTCTCTCTCTCTCTCTCTCTCTCTCTCTCTCTCTCACACACACACACACACACACACACACACACACGGCAGAAGGGAAACTTGGCACGGGAGGAGCTGGATCTTTGTAGCCCCGCACTGACCGCGCCGCAAACGGACGCGCCACCTCCCAGGTCAGCGCGCCTCTAAAGTCAGTGCAGAAAGTGCCCAAGTGACCCTCCCAACTCCCCCTTCAAATTAAACCCCTCCTCCCCGCGCGGTTGCTTGTGACCGACCTTAAACTTTCTCCACTCTATTTCAGGATGCTCAGGTTATGCCGGCCATTTGGGATCCAGGGTGTCATCTGGGAAAGCCACCCTTGTGCCCACTCCTACCTCGCCAGCTCTTAACACACACACTAAATTCCTGGGAGGTTTTGTAGAGCTCAGGGCGACATTCCCCAGCTAACCTTTGGGTCGTGGTGTACGGAAAGGTTAAATCTATGAGACGCTGGTGGCCGGCACGGGATTTAAACACTGGTGTCCCTGGACGCCAGTCTGGTTGTCCCGTTGGCTCTAAGTTTTTCCAAAACGTCAGGTAACTCATAAATAAACGCGTTGGAAAGGAACAGGGTATATGCTCGGGTCCCAGAGAGAAACACCGGTTCTCCACCCCCGCCCCCCAAGTCTCTCGCTCTCACACACACACACCCCTTAGTCGCTCCCTCCAAATGGTTATCACAACTGTGTACAAACTGATAGGGCCCTTAGCGGGCCAAGGACTGGAAATGAACATTGGCGGGGTTATCAGTGCCGATCTGTCAGCAGCGAGTGGCGCACAGCTCGTCCCAGGCAGCAGCAGTGATATACGTCTTGTTCCTTCGTGCTCACAAAAAGGATTTCTTCCGACAAGCTGGACACTGGAAGGCTGCAGAAGGGGAACTAACTGGACAGGAGGAACTCTCTTATTGGAATGGATTTTTACACACACGCCCCAGGTAAATCAAAGTCAATGTTTTCTATAGCTCTTACTGAAAGCACTGCGGCTGCTTTTGTCTCTGTTATTTCAGTTTCGTTTGATATTTATTTTCTGTTTTTTTTTTTCCAGTTGGAGAAAGGAGAGCGGTCCAAGCAGAGTTGAACATGAATACATGGGTGCGCTGTAAAATACGATTTCGAGAAGGTGCGAGACCTCGCTGCGAAGAGGTCGTTTCCTTGAACTGTACCTGTGCGCTGGCGGAGAAGGGGCAGAACTTGCTGGGGAGGGGGAGGGGGACTCCGAATCCAGGAAGTTAGAGAGAATTCTGCGTTTTCATTCTTCGTTGTAAATTGCGGCCAAACACTTCTGAATTTTAAACCTGCTACTGACCACTCTTATCTAACTGCGTCACTTTTACCGCGTTCCTTTTTGGGCGCCCACCCCCAAGTCACTGTGACTTCAGTGTGGCTGCCTTCTGAAAGGCTGAAGATAGAAAACTCTGGAATGGAGAGGCTGGCGGCTGGAGTAGGATTCGGAGGCTTTAAATTTTAACCCGTGTTCGATCGAAACTTACTACCACATGAGACTGGCATTGGCCGGCCCAATTCCCACCGTAGGTTCCAGCGGTTTGCTTTGGGTTGTTCGGTAAGTTCTGACCAAACTTTTAAGCGAACTGGATTCTGCCAAGATCATTTGTAAGCAATTCATTAAAACTCTGGACATCGTTTTTCCTTCAAATCCAATTGTTGGGAAATAATGTCTCAAGTTTTCTCTAGCAAACAATTTTTACAGTGGCTAACTAAATTTGGCGTCCTGGCTGTGAACGGCCTTCAAGGCTAAGGAAGATCGACCCCAGTGCGAGCCTGATTCTTGTCCCGAGTTTTATTTGATTATTATGATTATAATTATTTGAAAGTTCAGGGTTATCCTGCGTAAATTTCCTGGGACAATCGCAAACCCCCACACTGGTCCTGCCTTCCGGACGCAGCTAAGCAGCCGAGCCTGGGGAACACACTGGTCCCGGCGCTGGCGCCGCTGGGCCAGAGGTGAAAAGCCGCCCCATATTGACAGATTCGACAACGATCGGGCTCTAGGGGCTCGGGAACCGACTCGTAATTTTATCATCCACATTCCCAATTATTTTAGGAGTGTCCCCAAACAAAGAGGAAGATAGGTCATTGCTTTTTCTTTCAGGGCCACAAAATTCACCTTAAAAAAAAAAAAAAAAAAAAAAAAAAGACTGGCTTTCTGAACGAGAAATGGGTTAGGGAAATAATTTCTCATGACAGTTCATGTAAAAATAAAACTGCTTTTAACCTGTCCGGTTGACTAAGACAAAAACCTGAGCTGCCTGGAGACGCGGGTTTGCTTTTTTCGGACTCACTGACTCTGTCAACAACACCCCCGCGGCAAAAGCACTTTTCAAAGCCGTCCCTACTGGCCTCAGGCTAGACGCTCCAGGGGAACGGAAGGCCCCAAAGTCCAGGGTGCCGAGGGAAGAGAAGCACCCCAAACTAGGGGGAACCCCAAGAGTTGGAGACGGCCCCCATCATGCCCCAGATAGCTCCGAAAGGTTGCTTTGTAGTCTTTTTCTGCTTTCTTTTGTTTCTCTTTCTTTTCAATGCCTTTCCTCTTGCTCCTCCTGTCTTCCCTCGCCGGATTTGCTGATCTTGAACGAAATCGTTTCGCGGGGAACTATTTCGGCTGTGGGAGCAGGCCCTCCGCACCAAACTCTATTCCTACCCCGAAAAAGGACTGGTTCTGGGGCGCCGCCGCCTGTTCCCCTGGGCTCATTTATTTGGGCCGGGCCACACTACCAGTCGCCTTTCAACTAGAACACAGCAGCCAATTGGGCAGGGGGCGGGGGCTCTGTAGCTGAAACGGAAGGGGTGTTTGGGGGACTCAGTGCGGCGCGACTTCCGGGGGCACCGCAGACCTGGGCCTGGATGCCTGTTGCTGTACACCTTTGGCCTTGCAAACTCAAGCTCATTGTCTTGTCATTTCACGAAGCTTCTGTTTGCTCCAACGTCGAGTCAGAAGTTGGGGAGGGAAGGGCGGAGGGAGACACAAGCAATAAGCAATTTCTATCTTAAACATGGTTTGACCTTCAGATTTAAAAATATCAGGTTGAGGCTATACCTCACTGGTAAGTCACTTTTTGTGCAAGGATGTGGGTTCAGTTCCCCCGCATTCTAAAAAGAAAAGGAAATACGCATGTGTAAAGCCTCGTTGGTTTCTTACTGTCTCTCGGGGGCTCTTTCACCCAACTGTACAGGTCGTCTTGGCTCCCCCCATTCTCTCCAGTGGCCCAGGCCAGGGCTTGGGCCATGCTCCCTTTGGGAAAGCCAGCCCTCAACCAGGGTACCCTGCTTGCCTCCCTTCCCTTCCTCGCTGGTGCTCCCTTCCTTTTCCTTTCTTTTAAGCCTGCTTTTTCCTTTCCCTCCCTCCCTTTTATTCTTAATTTCCTATAAACAAACAAAACCGCGACAGACTGGATCAGGTGGCGGTGGAGGAGCGAAGGTCGCCCCAATTCCGGGTGTCGGCCGCCCTCCCACTTGGCCTGAGGATTCAGGCTGACGCAGTCCCCAGCGGTGGGAATCAAGCTACACGAGGGACTCTGCCCCGCGTGCGCCCAGCCCCGGGTGACCCCGGCCAACTCAGCGCCGCCGAGGTGGGCTCGCGCCTGCCCAAAAGGTCACCGCAGCGGCCTCCCTCTCTGCGCGCTGTTTACGCGACTTAATGTACTTCTTAGGCAGCAGTAAGTCGGGGTGGCGATAAGGGAGTAGCCAGGAAGGGTCGCCCGTAAAAGCCCCACGCTGGGCGCCTGAGGCCCACCCTCGGCCATTAACCTTTTTACTTTCTTCTTCCCTCTCTCTCTCGCTCTTAAAGCTTGTTATCTGGGCCACCCAATGACCGACGAAAGATCTTCCCTCCCCATCGCCGCTTTAAACCAAATAAATTTAGCTATTAAAGGACAAGACGTCTGACAAAAGATCGAAAGGTGTCTCTCTGGGATCGCTTAAACGACCGAAGAAGCTGGCTGCTCTCGAATCCCGATAAGAAATTCCACGCTGGCGCCGGCCTCCCTCTCCAGCCTGCTTGCATCCATCCATCCGACACCCTGAGATCAGAACGCAAAGGTCCACTGGGACCTGTGGCTACAACCGAGGCAATATCTAGGGTCCCGGGCCTGAGGTCCACGAGCAGTGGGAACTAAAATATTCCTGCCAAGCTCCAGAAGAACCGAGGCCAAGGAAATCCAAAGTAGCATTTAACTTTGCTCCCCTTTTCCTTTGAGGCAGACACAGTGTCTCATTATGTATAGTAGGCTGGCCTCAAACTCATGATCCTCAAGTCTCAGTTCCCTCCATATCTGACCCTGGATTGTTATTATCTAGACCAATTAAGAAGCCCATTTACGCTGTGGAGTACTGAGATTACAAGTATAGCCTTGTCCTGCCTTTATTATTATTATTATTATTATTATTATTATTATTATTATTTTAATACTAAGCATTAAAGACAAAGCCCAATCATGCCCATCTACCTTCGCCATGGTTCACTGTAGGAGCAGAAAAGCACCCCTCGTTTCCTGGGGTCACAAGCAGAGCTTCTGACCCCCCTCCCGTAGAAATGGTGATGGGTCTGCACCCTGGGCTTGAACCCAGAAGGGTGTAGACTTTCCAAGGTTGGTTTGGCCAAATGCAGTATTTAGAGTAATGATTAATCACAGCCAGCATGGCTACTTGAAGCCCAGGGCTTGTGCTAGCCAGAATCACCACCCACCTCTCAGAGGGTGAAGCCAGTGGCCCTACTTCTCAGGCTTCACTCTCTGGGGAGGCAGCTGGGGTGGTCAGACATGTCTTTGGGTTTTCTAGTGCTTTGAAATAGGGCTGACAGAGGTTGCGGGGAGGTGGGCAATGGGCAGGACTTGTCTGTCCATCAGTCTACTCTCTGGCAGATGCTGGACTCATTCTGAGTGTCACCATATGCTGGGGTGTGAGCTTCCAGGTACCCCTTTTCCTATCCCTTCAAACAGTTTCCTTCCCAAACACCCTCTTTATGTAATGCAGCCTCTGAAAAGGGAGAAAAAGGGACATTCTGCTCCCAAGAAGGAGACATAGATTTCCAGCCCCCTAGGGTGAACTAGACCGAGGTCTCCTTGGATGTGTCTGGCATCCCAGGAGTGCAGACCCAATGAATTATGGGATCTAGACCCATGTCTGTTCTGAGCCCTTCCTCCCTGTTGGGTAGCATTTGCGCTTTTACTTTAAGGCCAGGCAGGATTGATAAAAAGATATAGAAAAAGAAAGGAAGAAGAAAGGAAGAAAGGCCAGTTTTTAAAAAATGAGTTTTGAAAGATTTGCTAAATTACAAATGCCATCCTTGAGTCAATGATGGGGGAGTGACCAAGAAAACTTACTACTCAGAAATATGACCTTTCCATTCAGCTATGTTGCAAATATGCAGGGAATTAGGACCAAAGGGTTTGTCTCCCACTGCACAGCCCTCCAGCTTCCTGCCACTGAGCATGCTTTGCAGGGAGAAGAAAGAAATAGAAGAGGCTGCTTCAAGCTCGGAAGTGTTTGCAGTCTAGGGGGTTGGCACCTCTATGCAGTCAGTTAGGCCAAGTCCCACAAGCAACTCCGTGGCTTTCTCTGAAAGGGCACTCAGGTTGCAGTCGTCCTCTGGTCTGCAAAGTGGGTTTGGAAAGTTGCAAGTTCCTCTAGCTCATGAACTTAGGGGATTTCTAAGAGACACTGGGCCAGCCCAGGACTTGATCCTAATATCTGCCACCCTCTATTGCCTGTGTGAGGATGACAAGTGTACCCAACTTCTCTGAGCCAGTCCACTCTTGAGTAAAAGAAAGTTAAAACACCAAGCAGGGTGTAAGGACTATGCGTGCCTGTATTCACTGTGCTCAGAGGCTGAGGCAGGGGGATTATATGATTCTCACACCAGCCAAAGCTGCCCAGTAAGATCCTGTCTCCAAAAAAACAAATGGAGAGGGGGTGGGGGAGCTCTAAGGGCGAAGGTGTTTGCTAACCAGATAAACCAATGACCTGACTTTCATTAGGACACACTAAGATACTCAAATCTCATAACTCCCACAACATTTCCTCGGACCTCCACCTATATGCTGTGACTTATGTGCATGTGTGGGCACATACATAAATGCAATGAACTACTTAAGGAAAGAAAGGATAGAAGGAAGGAAAAGAAAGGAGAGGAGAGGGGAAAGAGGAGGAGGAACTCCCTTTTGGGGTCATTGCAAAGACTAA